AGATGTGTATAAGAGACATGTGTAGTATCATAAACACAATATAAACAGATAAAAAAATATAAAAAAATAATAACAGTGCTTAAAATAGAAACATGTGTGTGAATATATGCACACATTAATACATGTATTATGTATGCATATGCCAATATTTTTTTCATATCATTTAATCATAGTTTTTGAAGATTAGTATAGTAATTCTTTTGAGTTGGTTATCAACCTACAGTATATCTCTGTGTTAAAAATCACTTAATACAATATCTAGGTTACTAAACTGAGAAAAAATATTGAGATTAAGCATACTTAAAATATTGAGATTAAGCATACTTAAATTAAGAGAATGCATTCCTTTCAAAGACACACATTCTTTATGTATCCACACAGTCCGAACTACATTCATATATGTATGTAGGTTTTACTAGATTTGAATTGACGACTTCATTCAGTAGATTTATTTCATCATTTGGAATCTTCATCTGCTTTATTCTCTGAAAGAGTGAAAGAGAAAACTCATTTTTTTAGTAATCTGTAAAATAGGCGAATAAGGAAAACCTCAAACATTACCAAAAACTAAAGTCAGTATATATGAAACGCTGTGCACTTTACAGCTTGCGCCGGATGATCACCAAAATTTAATCACCTCATCCTACGGTAATATTTAACAATCCCTGTAATTCCATTTGGATCTGTGCAGCTGTTTTTGAGATATTTGGAACACATGAAACACGCAGGACCTTTAAATTGAAATAACCCTCAAGCTCACCCCCGAATTTGGATTGTCACTTACAATTATTAATTTCACACTTGTAACTTGGTTAAACTTCCACGACAATTTCATTCAGATAAATTGACACATTTTTTGAAATATCTGGTCTGGGACGTTTTTTTAAAAAATGGTTCTCATATCCACACCCTACTCCGGGTCGTCACCAAAATTCACCTCATCCTTGGGTCATACCTAACAACCCTTTTACTTCAACTTATGATCTGTGCAGCTGTTTCTGAGATATTTTGAACACAAGAAATATGTACGACCCTAGAAATTTAAATGACCCTCAAGTTCACACCTGAAGTTGGATCGCCACCATCACCTAATAATTTCTTGGCTGAATAATAAGCCAGGTTAAAAAAAAAACAAAAAAAAAAAACACCAAGCTAGCACCCAAACCAAAGTATGGGGTTACACTGTCACAAACAACCGGAGATCTGTGTGTTTGTACTCCAGTTAGCATCAGTTAAGTCTTTATCTTTAGGTGTCTCCTAACCATACAATTCCTAGCTAGCAAAAAAGTAATTATAAAGAGGCAGTAGAAAAGTTTTTAGTTGCTTCTTAAGGCCAACTCAGACAGCGTCGGCCGACGCAGCCCGACCCGATTTATCGCGGGGACAGTCTTAAGCCGTCGTGAGAAATATTAAACACGTTTAATATTCTACTACGCGACTGCCCCCGACGCACATATTCGCGTCTGCGTTCAAGTCACACAGACCCGACGCGACAACAAATTGCGTCGGTCTGCTTCAGCCGACGCTGTCTGAGTTGGCCTTTAAAGATGGTAATGCATTCCACATTTTTAGAGCCACAACACACCATAATACACTCTCCTCTATCCTCTTTAAACCTCAAAATAAAACATGATTTAAATTACATTGCAGTCCATCCAGTGGTGTAGCCAAGGAGGGGGGGTAGCCAATACATATTGGCAATCACAGTCATTTATACAAACTCACAGTATTCTCTACACACTTTTCTTGTTGCAACACAATGGCTAAAGTACAATTCCATTCCCGGTTATTTATGTTTCTAAAATCTAACTGTAATTCATATTAAGATACAAAATACAATAGTTTCATCATGGTTTAAAATGTTCTGTATAATGAATAAACTGCAATAAAACAATATGATGTTCATTTTATTTCTTTAATTCCATAGAAATTTCAGTTGATTAATACATTATTATTTGAGAGCAAACCGGCTGAGTTCACATAAGATAGCTATTAATATAGCCATATTGTACCGGGGGGGGGGGGGGGGCCACATAATACCACGGACCTACACTGGCCACCCAAACCCCCACCCCCCACCCCACAGAAATATTTTGGCTACGCCACTGAGTCTTTAAATTCATCCTTTCCAACTCAATACTTTGGTTCTTAACAGAGTCACTATTAATATTATCATTTTCCAAAAAATAATAATAATACTGTACACCCTTTTTAGGTCACTTGACTAGTCTCGACATGAGGTAACAGCTTGAAGGATTCCTAGGAACTAGCAGTGATCATGCCACAGGCATATAGTATACTGTATCAGCTTTGATACTGATTTAGACACTTGACCAGTGAAAGCACAAGTGGTAATTCCAGGGGGAACAAGACCATGTTGAGGAAGAAGCCAATCCATTAGCCTTCCCAATGGGGACTAAAGAAATGTTTCTCTTATGTTTATATTTCTCAAATAAATATATAGTTATTAATATTGAAATAAGTAAATAGTGTACAGTATATGTGATTATTAACATTTAATCAAAATGGATATGAATTTAAAGGTTATTTAATATTGATGTGTCATACATATCAGAGATCACTTTAATCATAAAGAAAATTAAACATATTGAGGTTCTGTAATATTTGAATAAATATATATTTTTGGATATATCTTTTTCATTTACATTTTTACTGAACAGTCTCTACTAGTCAAACGCACCAATTGTTTGACATTGTGATCTAAAAGATGTGCTTAAATTCAAGTTGTTTCTGTCCACTGTTCAAAACTCACCTTGCATTTGAGTAGGGATTAAGTGAAGTAGTTGCTGCTTGAGGATGGTTACCAGCAATAACTGTAAACAAAAATTAACATAATATAGTCAGTAAATAGAACTTGCCAAATAGAATAATACTGATCATGGTCTGCACTACAGATAGTGCTTTAGCAAGTGCTGCAGGAACATGAAATATGTACAGTCATTGCTTGGACCAAGTTTGAAGATGACACAAGTAAACTAGCCAAAGTGGAGGGTAGAAATCCCCCTTGCAAAAAACACAAGAAAATGGGGATTTATATTATAACGATAACAATCAACACCTTTTCCTTCAAATATAAACATAGGAACACTTAATAAAATCAGAAGAATGATAAATATCAGATTCAGATTCAATTTGTCCGATACGGAAAGAGCTTAATTACATTTGTTCAACGCTTTCTTCCCCTTTCAACATCATGTGTGTTTTGCAAACTATCTAAGTGTGTGTGTTTTTTCCATATACATAAAATGGCAAATGAAATACTGAAAACAAGAACAACTCCTAACATACAAAACAAGATACAATAAGGCTATCTATCATAATACATTCAGATCCCTTACTGTCAGTCAATTTACCTAGTTATAAAAATATATTTTTTATTTATATACATTTTTATTTTTAAAATATATAATTTTCTATGGAAATGAGAAACAGTTTACTTACTTTGACCATAAGGCATCATTGGATACCCAAGGTGTGTGTGATGATGCATGTGAAGATGCTGCATTTGTGGAAGAGGATTGCGTCCTGACCCATCAAAACGTGACAGCTCCTCAATACTCTCTGGTGTTTTCCTCTGTGTAGGACTGACAGATTTGTGTGGTGAAGTCTGGTTAGAATCCTGGCTTCGTAATTGCTCAGATTTTTGTGGATTATAAAATTGACTAGCACGCTGCTTTAACACCTCTAAAGCATTTTTACCATCAGGCAAAATTTCCTTTAACTTTCTAGGGGAAGTAGAAGAATGGCCAGCCATTAGTTTTCCATGTTTAGGGTCATGAACAGGACTTCTCTTATCGTCAGATTTCCAAACAGCAGAATAACCAAATTCTGGCGTGAGGTACTGTGGATAAGCAACAACAGGTTGCCTGTACTGATCATCTACAACACTGTAAGGTACCATATATGATTGCGGGAGGTATTGTGAGAAAGGTCCATCCATTTTGTGGCGTTTATCCTGTGGCACATTACTAAGCAGAGTTTTAGAACAACTAGCACTACTTGCTGATTCTGGTGTACATCTGTTTTTACCTTCTTCTTGTCCTCTTGAAACTGACCTTTGCTCTGATTGTGAACTTGAACTGGGATGCTTTCCTTCTTCTGCTTTTGATTTTCTCCTATCATCCAATTCCCTGCACCTTGACTCCTCCCACTGAGCGTGTGGGTACATATAATAACTCTGAGGTAATCGGCAATCATAGTGCCGTGAAGATTCTTGAGGTGATAGAATTCTAACGTGAGGTTTCAGCTCAATGCTATCAGACAGAATTCTATGGTTCTCCACTTGTTTATCCCTAATTTCATCTGTTCTTTCACTTTTTACATTTTTATCAATTCTGATTATTTCAGTTTCAATTTTACTGTGAGTTGTGTTTCTTTGTCTTTTTGAGTCAGTACTCTTACCCAAATCTTTATCTCTTAGTTCTTTTTCCATTCGTTCACGAGGGTGGCCATATGGAGGTTTTGCAATCATGCGCAAAGGGCTGGCAGCTGGATCCATATGATTTCGGTAACCAAAATAAATTGGTGGATAGGGGTGAGGAGTGTATAACTGAGGGTGTTGGTAAAGTGATGGTTTTGTAGAGTTGTTTTCTTCTTTGCATTCTATTTCATTGTCAGGGCCCTCATCTACATCTATGTCTCTGTTAGTTCTTTGTTTTGGAATCAACTTTGGCATTTCAGGTCTTGACGGTCCATCTTTGAGTGGTGAGTGACTGCGATCTCGAACAATTACCCCCGAATAGCCTGGAAAAAATGATCGCTGTTCGGAAGCTAGTACTCCTTCAAGACCAATGCTTCGATCTCTAGCAGCAGTGTCCTCCTCATTGGCATCAGATATATCAGAGTATGCTGGACTCTGTGTTGTCACTCTGTTCTGTTCTGGTGAAGCAGTCAATGGTTGTGGGATTATAACACGTGGTGGAAGATTGTCTTCCGGTGGGCGTACAGTCGTCCCTTTGACAGCAGGCAAAACACTCATGACAGGTTTTTCTGCCATGTTTTTCTCAAACTGCTGAAGTGGTTTAGGTTGTGTGGGTTGTGTAATAACAGCAGACTGTTGTTTAACAGGTAGACTACTGGTGCGTATAAGTTTTGGAGGCTCTGGTATTGTAGTAGTACTACTTGAAGATGCTGGAATATTAGGTAAATCCTTATTTGCATCTTTAGGTTCATTGCTCTCGGATCCACTTGGTGAACTGCTATTGTAATCATCTAAATTTATGCCAGATTGGGTCAAGGCCTGTTTCAGTATATTTGGTTCAACATCAGTTGGATTTAGACCACCTCTTTTAAACTGAGTAATATTTGGCCCTGTAGATTTCACTGGATTTTCTATCTTTCCTATTGAAATCTTTCTTTCAGATTCTTTCATGAAAGATGGGTTAGCATTTTTGTCAACTTCTCTTTCTTTTTCTTTCATTCGTTTCTTAGATTTTAGCTTCTTTTCCTTTAGGTTAGCTAAAGCAGGGTTAACAACTAAGTCACCCATAACAGTTGGTTTTGGTTGGATGGGTTTCAGGGTTGATGAACCCATGACGGTTGCCTGTGGTTTTGTGGTGACTGGAGGCATGGTCATCGTGGCAGCAGCATTGACTGGAGCAGTCACAACAGCAGGAAATGCAATCAGTTGCTGAGTTATCTGTGGAGCTGGAGCTATTGGTCTATTGGGCTTCGGTTTTATTAATATTTTTTCTGGTTTTGTTTTCTTTAGCTTTTCTTGTAACTTAGATTTTTCTTTCTCAATTTTCTTATGCTTTTGTTGATCACATGTCGCAACAGGTGAATTCACAGTTGAAATGGTTACGCTGATTGGCTCAGTCTTTACTACAAAAGGTTGACTAGTATTTTTGTCAGAATTGCTAGCTTTAACAGTTGGTTTTATTACACTCACAGATGCTTTTTTGTTACAATTGGCAGCAAGAGTCTGTTCCTCAGAATCTATTGCTGAATTAAAATCAAATACTGAGAGATCTTTATCAGCAGTTTTGCATTTTAATGGATTTTCAGCATTTTTAATTTTTGATAACTTCTCTTCAATATCAAAGTTAACACTGTTTGCATTGACTGGAAATTCTGTTACAGTTTGGAAGTTTGTAGACACATCCTCAGAAACATTTAAATCAGCATTTGTTTCAAATGTGTTCTCTTTCATGTCAAATATTTCATCTCCACTGTCTATAGTTCTGTTAGGTAAAACATTTTCATAATTGTCTTCTTCTAAAGCAACCACATCCCTATCTTGAATAGCATCAATTTCTGTTTCCTCTTTGTTTTCAGTTTCTGGTTTACAATCCACAGACTTTGATTCTTCCGTCTCTAATTCTTTGGTATCTATGCTAGTAAATTCATAATTTTCTTCAAAATCAGTCAATTCAAGTATTTCTTGTGGTTTCTTTGGTATATCATGATGCGCATGTGTTTGGTGGTAACGGAGCCCATTTATATGTTTGTACTTTTTACTGCAGTTGGGCTCCGGGCATTCTATAAGGCCTTGAGATGTAGTATAGGGAGTGGAAATACCCTCACTCGATCCAACAGGGGAAGGTATTTTCGAGTTTTTGATTTTTTTTACAACTTTATCATCACCAGAATTTAGTTCACTTTCAAATGTTTTTGCTTTGCGTTTACCATTCAAATGCTTTTCTTGATTTGATATTGTAGCTATAGGTATGTTATTTCCACGCCGTCCTTTACCATTTGTTGAGGTACGTAGCTTGCAGTGAATAGATGAACGAGTTTCTGTGTAGTTACTAAGATCCGTTATAGATGAGGAGGTGCGACTGCGTTTTGGACGGCCTTTACTTATCTGACCCTTTCCTTCAATATCATTAACTGGCGATTCACAAAATCTGAAAAAAAAAATGTTATAAACTTTAGTTATTACTATTGACAACTGATCTGGAATAATGGAATGGAATGGAATAAAAAGTAGTAAATTGCTACTTATACCACCCTGACACTTGCGACTTCCTGTGGAGAAGCGCACCACATTTAAAAGCTTTTTTTATTAATCTCTCAACGGCTTTGCCCCTACACTACAAATATTGATTATCTCTTCACCCTATACGCTTCCTCTCATTGTCTTTGTTCTAATTTGCAAAAACCTTCTTCCCTCAGTCAAAGTCAACACTACAACCAATGGACATCGTGCACTAACATATGCATATACAAAATCTGTCACCATTTTAAAGTCTCCTTAAAACACATCTTTTTAAGGAGGCATACACCGATTGATTGTGTCTTAAGTTTACTTTCCCTTTCTGTTGGACATCACTGCTTGACTTTCCTTTGATTACTGTATATTTGTTTCAAACTCATAATTTTTCGATTTTTGTACAGTACAGTGCTTTTGACATTAGGCACTATATAAATGCAGAATATTATTAATATTCATTTACAGGGTTATAATTTGTTATTGATTTTGACTTTGCAAGCATAATTATCAAGTTACCTATAAAAATATAATACATCGACACTTCTTCAAAGAACTTATTGGCAGAAAATTTAGACATGTTGGTAAGATTTTTATTAGACACTTATGAGAAGAATAAATGTTTAATAAATAAAGAATAAATAAATAGAAGTGTAGCATCACCAGCAGGAAAATGAAAGGAAATAATATTAAGCAAGAAGGGGACAGAGCAGATTTCCTTGACTACACATACAATAATTGGATAGGACAATTTACTGCACTGCTTATGATTAGTGAACTAGCTTTTTAAAATGCTATTCACAGGGCCATGAATTCCATAAGTTGTTAGCTGATAATGGCTAAAGTGTTTTCAGTTTGTTCATAGTTCGTGATAAGAAGAATTTAGTATAAAAGTACAATAATATATTATTTCACTGGAACAGTTTTCAAAGGGACATTAATATTATGGGTACCGTTTTAACAAAATAGGTGTACTGTATATATTCATAATCAACAATGAATTTTCTCTCTTGAATAACTGCTGCAATTTGCATAGACTGGTCTGGCAGTGGTGGCGCCAGCAGGGGACACGTTGGACAGGCCTGGACCCCCACTGTCTGACGTCAGGATGAGGTTGTGGGATGCCATGATGAGGTCATCGGACCAAAAACATTTATTTACCAATTCAAAACAATATTTTGATTGCAAATTTTTATTGATGTTTAAATAAAAGCACAATTTTGGGCCATACTATGCCATAAAAACTCTCCCCATAAACCCTACCAGGATGTTTTATTCCGGAAACCTGATCAAGGCTCTAGTTGCACACAGGTCGGCTTTTTATAGTCCTTATCCAAGAAAACTTGGTTCTACCAATCGAACCCTGGGAGAGGCCACTCAACTCCCAAAATGCAAAAATTGTCCATTTTTGGGTAGCACTAGCTTGGTGGTTAAAAGATGCTTGCTTTCCAATTCTGTAGTTAATTCCTGTCACTTCATGGTTAACTGGTTAAACTTTAAAAAAAAAAAAGGATCAATGGCTACACATATGAACCTAACTAAAAGAGAATGCAGCTACAGGTAGTAGCTTACCCAATTAAAACAAAGAAAAAAAAAACAAAGAAAAAAAAACAAATTAGCTTACATGTAAAGCAGCAAGAAGAATGAATATGAATGATGGAATTACTCACCTAGGGGGTGCCCAATCATGTTTGGTACAGTCCATCAATGTTCCTACATATGTTTTATTTCTCCAAGTAACATTAACTACTAGAACACCTGCAAGTTAAAATACAGAAAAATATACAACTCAATTTCAAAAAGTGTTAATATTATACAGTGAATATATATATATGTGTGTGTGTATGTTGGTAAGACATCCCTCATTTAAAATTTCGGCAATTTTTTGCCGTAAAATTATGAACAAAACTCAATTATAGTATTTCAGGAAAGGATAATAATAAAAGGGAAAAAAGGTAAAAACCCAATCTAACCAATTGGGACTCAAATTTAAAGCCCCATTCCCGGCAAAATTTCAATTTTTAAAAAAAATCAATTTTTGTATAATGTTATAAAGATTTATAAATATAATACGGAATTGCTAGTTTAACTGAATTTAGACATTCCTAAGAATGAAAAAAAAGTAAAATAAGACTGAAATTTGATTTTTTGTGTTCCACACAAAAAATAAATGCGGATGAATTTTCATGTTTGATTTTGCAACAGGTCGTGAGAAGAAATATCGTAGGCGCCGAAAACATTAGCCTATCCAACGCTGCTAGGCTAGGCCTAGCCTTACCTCGCTTTAGGTTCTGTTATCACACATAAAAACGGCCGACATGATATTTTCCGTTGCTAGTAATGACACTTGTGTAATATAATATTTCATAGGAATTATTTCACATTTGTTAAAAAACTGATTCTGACTGAGATTTTGACACTTAAACAAACATATCTCAACCTAACCGAACGAACGCATTGTGCGAGATGCGAAGTACAAAAACTAATCTCACTAGAGAGGGCGCACTTTATTGACTGTATAAAGTATATTGTATCCAAGGTCAGTCGAGATGCTCATATCCAAGGTCAATCGAGATCAATCAATATAAACCTATGTTGTGTATATGATTTTTACCTTCATATGAGTATGCGCAGTTCTAACTACAAATTGACTCAGGCCCTATTGGTTGTAAAAGCACCAAATACCTTGTATTGCTATTTAGTTCTTTACAAGAAACCTTGCATATTAGTAGGAGCAGCTCCTGTCTCTTATACACATCTAGATGTGTATAAGAGACAGCATATATATATGCATATATATATGTGTTTGTGTGTATATATATATATATCTACACAGTTATATATATATATATATATTGAAGAGCAATGTACTGTATGCTTTAAGTGAACACAATAAGACGATTTATAATCACTAAAGGCTGACATACAGTATACACACACTCTGTGACTGCTCTATTTTTACAAATGAATGCTGCCTCATACATACATACCAGTGCCATATCTAGGGGGTGTGCATTGGAAACGTTCGAAGCAAGAAAACCACACTCAAGTAATTAAAAATCACCTATTACGTTATTTTTTGACCTCTTAATCTCCCTCCTCCCCAGTTTCAGGACTTCTAGATATATGCCACTGATACATGATACACTAAATATAACTTCTTGCTGGGAAATTACTGAACCTTCCTATAACAGCACAATTGGGTTTACCTTGAGGAGTTTCATGCCACACGATGCCTTCCAAATTGACACTTGTGCCTGGTTCACATGGGCCAAGCTTGTCTGGTTCAGTTAGCGTTCCAACCTCACTTGTATCTATTCCAACATGCTCAAAAGATGGTTGCTAGTAGTAATTGAAAACAGTTATGATTAATTGTTGGTTTTTACATCAGTCATTAATAAATAATACAATCCTATTGGCCTGCATAATTAACATATAATTACAGTGAGTTCTAAACATTTTATGGAACAAATTTACAGTGTGGGAACTAACATTTTTTTTTTCAATATCTGAATATTTGAAAAGAACTAAAGAAATAAAACACGTACCTTATCTATTTTAGATTTTTTAGTCTTCTTCTCACTAGATTCCTTAGTTTTCTTTTTCCCTTCATTTTTATTTTCCTCTTTGGACTCATTTGTCTCATTATTATCCTCTTTATCTTTGCAACATTCATTCTTTGGTTTACCTTCCTCAATACTGATTTCACATAGACTAGTACTTATTCCGGTTCTCTCTATTTTACTATGGAACGTTTCTCGTTTACGTGATTTTGTACTTTTCTCCTCACTTATCCCCTGTGAAGTCTCTGTAAAATCATCATTTATATGTGCAGTACCATCAGCCTTTGCGCTAACTTTCCGTTTTATTTTCATTTTCCCGATTCTAAATGGACTAACGTCCTTCAAATTGTTTTGGGTACTCATTGTTTCTTTCTCAAGATCAGCATCTAAATCAATGATCAGGTTACCTAAGCCGATTTCCCATTCTTCACCGCTCTCATAGTGTGATGCATCATCCTTGGGGTACGAATTAGCCATAATGTGGTTGCACTCGACCCAAGAAAAATTTCACCCCTCCGTGGTCAATTCTTAAACTTCTTGAATGACAGTTCAACCATTAACTAAAGAAAGACAAGAACAGAAATTAGTTTGCTTACTCATATTTCAAAATATTCTTGATATTTTAAGAGAAGTTGACTAGCCCCTGTTACTTAAACCTGTACCGCAAAAGAAAAACATATCAAGAACTTCAAAATCTGGACCATCAGAATTTTTTTTGAATGATAAAATGCTGTGTGATTTGTCTAATTTCTTTAGCTAATTAAATCAAAATGGTCAAGCAATTTCATTTTCTAAAGTTCCCCCAACTGATCATTATATAGGCCCATCAGTCCCGGCAAAAAAATGAAAAAAAGAGGAAGAAAAAATGTATACAAAATTATTATTTGATTGTAGCAAGAATAATGTAGGCTTGTAGGCAACGTGTTGCTTTTCTATCATTAAACCCCACTCAAAAGGGGCAACGCCATGCACTGCGCACCATCTTAGATTTTATGGGCAAATTTACTCAGTAAAAATGTTTCAATTGGGAGAACACTGCATAATTAGCCGGCCTTTAATAATAAGTCGCACATTACCTACTACTGTATGTACGGCCTATTTTATTTATTGAGTGATGCTCAGATCAGACAAACTTTTTATTACAGTATTATTCTAGTTATTGTCATGCCAAGGACAGCAAGTTACATCAACACCAGCTACAAGATTTTCACTGACATCCCAAGGTCTACCAGTTGATTTTGTCTCCTCAATAAAAAAAAAATTAAATAATTTTATTTTCATAACCCATTATTGGGGTACCAAAAAGGTCAATTTTTTATTTAAAAATTGCTAAACTGCGGGGGTGCAGTGTGGTTGTGTGCAAACATGTGCTTCAATTGGGATGACGTCAGATCGCCTAAAGTTTCATAGTTCGTGACAGGAGCAGCTCAGTGTAATAACCGACAAAGTTGTAATTAAACAGATTTATTGAACCAAATACTGTAAAGAAACCCTAATAGGTTTATTTTAGAGATGATATATTTAAATCTAACAAACTTAAATTTCATTCTATACAAATTTCTTCCGTAATTAAAATAGCAACATGAGTGAGGATGTGTATTTTTGTAATCTACAATGACGAATCTAACGCCAATGTCCAAATCCGAAGGTCTAAACGTCTACTGAAAAGAATCACCCGCAGAATTTTTTGAGTGTTGTCTGGCGGAAGGTGTAATGTCATTTTAATCAATTCATTATAATCTTAGTGGCATGGCCAGACATTTCATTTGCACGGCATCTGGTAGGCCAAAGCTTGTTGTTTTGTTATTTTTTATTACGATGTTTACATAACTGATCGTCCAGTTTTAGAAGTTGATGTTTGTGTTTGGACCCAATAATACGTTCAGAATTAGAGGAGAGATTCAGATTTTCGGTATATGTATTATTTTAAGTACTATAATAACTATGTAGACATACAAAATCGCCGAAGAAATATCGTTTTAGCGTTCTCTTTAGCGTAGGAAGGATAGTTTTTGGGTGCATTGTGCAGGCAATGATCAGACTGTTTACTTCAAAACTGCCCATGCATGTCCATCACATGCCCAGAATATGTCTGTCTGAGATTCTACACTTGTACTTGACAGTGTCTGTAAATCTGTACTGCACATGCGGTGAAAATATGGTCGCTTAGTGAGGCAATGTCTCCACTGCTCGAGATGGTAATTACTTTAATACTCCAGAGCCTAGACTATCCTAGACGAAGATTAAATTTGTTTATACGAAAATTTGCTTTCGCCATTTTGGCGAATGATGCCAATTTCAGTATCTCAATTCTCCATTGGCGAATCAGCAAACAGCAGCCCGAGCCCATATAACTGTATGTACTATTTTTTTTTAAAGTGTTTTTTACACTTGCATCAGTAATTGATAACAACTCCACAGTACTACTTTTGTCAAATTAACATTTATTTTAACATTTTTAAACTCCAGCGTATCTCACACAGTGCAAAAAAAAAAAAAAAATACCATTAAAAAATTCAATTCAACTACAGTCTACTTAAACACTACACACCCGTAAGCTGTACATTTTTTATAATTAATTTATAACCAAAGCCATATGAAGGAAAAGCAAAAAAATTAACATTTCTGATGTGCGTTTATAAATATGGTATAAATTCTGTGTCAGGGTAAGCATGTGTCCTGATCAGATTTCTTAGCATGAATTGGCAATGCGAAATGACAAATGAAGAACGGGCTTTTGTACTGTTATTGATTAAATGCAGCTGTGACATCATGTTTAATGTTGGATGTAAACATGGCAAGATCCTCTATGTTTAGATTGATAAAAATATGCCATGGATTGGTTTAACATGCTATGTACTGTAATCAGTTTTTATACAGCTCCGATAGTGTGAGACTAGCTGTCAATACCCATAACTGGGAGATAAATGATTATATTTCCACAGAAATTGCATTGTACTTTATTCAAATACATTATAACAACTCCCATTCAAGTAAGAGAAGACTTAGTCTGAAATGTGTTTTGGTATACCACTATTGGGCAATTCCACAGTAACTTTGTAAACTATTTTGTTTACTAATTATAGCAATTTAAAAAGTGTCCGGACGTTGCTTTTTTGGTAACTTTGTGACAGTAACACTGCGACATCCTACTTAAATGCACACTTTGTAATGTTTAAAATACATCATGTATGATATGAGTGAAATAAAAGTATCTACAACAATAATAATGTACAAGAAGACAAACTTGCTTGGTTATTTCAGTTATTATTTACATTAGGGACGACACACAGAGACAAGGATTGATGGATCCATGTACAGAATATTTAAGATAACTATACAGTGGTTTAATTTACACTAATGTTTAATGTTGACTTTCCACAACAATCCACAAAAGAACCATTTTTTTCCCTACATAATGATTGGTGGAATTACGCGGTATGATAGACATCTTAAAAAAAGGCCCTTCACCAAATTCAGGAACAGCGTATTGCATATATTCCATAGGCATACTCTTAAATTCAGGATAATAATATCACTTCCTAATTATTGGAATTGCTATTACAACATGCTCAAAACTTTAGACAGCAATAATGAAAGTAGTAACAATCAACAATAATAATTCAGTGTTGTTAAACTTTCACTTATGATTAAACCAAAATAACACTTTGGCATTTAGCTGGACGTTTTTATCACAATTGGTGATCTTTAATAATAATTTAAATATATGTAAAGAATGTAGTAATGACAGTAAGTTTCTAACATCCAGAAAATCATTACTACAAAATAAATTGTATTTACATTTTTGAAAACAATGTAGCATTATTTTTCTCCTTAAATAAAACAGAATAGTCTAAACTCTATATAGAAAGCTGTAATATTTAAATCATCAAAAAAGAAATAAGGCCCTAGAGAATTACATAAATCTCGAGAATTCAAAGTAAAAACAAGAATTTCATTATGCAAATTTTTTTTTGCAATATGACAAAGTAAGCAATTTTTAAAAGGAAATAGTCACATCCTACAGAAGGAATGCATCCAATTGCATCCTACTTGCTCTACTTAATCAGTTACGAATTGTGACAGTAAATCAAATGGAGTGTGTTAAACAAATTTGAAATCATTGAAATACTGCAGTCGAAAAAACCCCATTATTATTTATTTTCAATAAATTATGGTCAATAACAAAGACTGACAATTCGAAAACCTTGGAGTGGTGACAATTATTTTGAACAAAAATTTATCTAGTAGTGGAAAGTAAAAACAAGGCCTCTGAAAGGTCTCCACAGTTTCTGGGTCACAGGGTTGTTTGATTCTAGATAATAGCATTAAATTTACTTTTTCTAGATTCTAAAATAGCAGGTTATCAACTTTAGCCTACAGTACAGTAAGCTTAGAATTTCTAGTGATAGGTTTTAGGTGTGGAATGTTGGGTGGGTGTACTAGGCCTACTATTATGACCTAGACTGACATTTCTAAGCTCAGGCTAATGATAACAATAAGTACAGGATTTCATTTTATTTATTATGCCTGAAAGAAATACAACTGGTTACATTGCAAAACATGCACAATGAGAGAAAAAACCAACACAAACAAGCAGAGACAGAATTCCTAAAAAGTGAATTAACAATAATAATAATAATAATAATAATAACAATAATGATGATAATAACAATTAATAATAATAGTTATCATTACTACCACTACTATTGTACCACGCTTTATTATCATAAATATTTACTTTAATTTAAAATGATGACAATATAATTTATATAATTTATATATAAAATATATCGATAAACTTATTTGGAATAAACTAATGAATCCCTATCTTCTGGTAGCCCCTCCCATGAATGTGGAAATGAATGGAAAACAAAATATTTTAAATTTACAAATCTGAAATGATCACAATGTCGTGGGTTGATTGTAATGTAGTTGAAAATATTTTGACTAAATATATAAATTCATAAGACTAGACTGTTTTATATATTGTTTGTATTATATTTTTTAGAGATCATCAGATGAGGGTGGAAAAATAAAACAGTTTTCTTAAATATAAAAAAAATGGTAGGCCAGGCCAGCGGGAGGGAAGTTACAATAACTAGCTTGCGAACTGGGTAAAATTATAATAAATACATTCTGATATAATAGTATTTTTTCAGGAAATTCCTATAGCACAAACTTGCGTATGTTAATGTACTACTGTATTTAAGCAATCCATCATGTTTGTAAAATACTGTAGGCCTAAATTTTTCAAATTACTGTTCTTTCATCAGGTGGTAGGCTTGTGAGTGAATCAAGGTATACAAAGTCTAGCCTAAAATAAAATGTTTTTTTATCTTAAATGTTTACATGAGTCACTCAGCTGGACGATTAGCTGTTTTTCAAAATGGGATGGATTTAACTGATGAAAAAATTTTTTTTTATCAGAGCTAAAACATCAAATAATCTAGTAATATATTTATTCTTTTGTTGTTATTTGCCACTCTTTCATCAGATTTACGAAATATTACTTCAAAGATCTAAGAAATAAACACTCAGTAGGGGAAACTTAACTTAG